ATCTGTGGAAAACAACGATTATCTATCGCTTTGTAAGAATAAGTTTTTATGTGCTTTTAGTTGAACTTGAGGATGTTGTACGCGGCGAACATATATAAATTCTTTAATAGTGTGTCGTCATACTGATAATTCTATTCAAATAGAAAACCATCATTTTAAAGCGTCTAATGATCAGATTTATTGTATTTAAACTTATTTATAAATTAAAATAAATCAAAATAAGCATTAAATTGAACTATAACAAAACTTTAAGATTCATAAAAACAATATAAAAAAGCTTAGTGGAAGCATCAAGTTGACGAATTAAATAATTCATCTTCAATATTTAGATAAACTATTGTTAAGCAAATCATCTTGAGGGTGTGGGTGTGGGTGAGGGTGAGACTAGCTGTCATTATCTAGATTTCGGTAAAACGGAAAATCGACAATAGGAATTTGGACAACGGAATTTGGACAATATTGTCGGATTTAAAAAACTGCCTAGAGATAGGGTGAGGGTGCATATGAGGATGTGAGGGTGTGGATAGGTCTGGGCAGTAGGATACTACATGAAAATGTGTACTGAAATACTCCTAAGAAAGCCTATGCAGTTTTTCAAATCTGCAAGATTGTCCAAATTCCTATTGTCGATTTTCCACTAAACCATTTACAGTGGAACCTTACGAACGCGATATCGATCTTTTCGAAGGATCGATTATCAGGTAGATCAATAACTGCATTCAAATTAAAATTCAAAAGGAAATTGGAAAGACTGACTAATGAAAGTCTAACAAAATTCGAAAGAATTGAATTCAGTAGAGCAGTCTAAACAAAAGGTGTGATTTATATACATGAAATCCTACAATCTAGATTTCGATCTTTTTATGAGAATGAGATGATCTCTGGGATGATTAGTTTTGTATGAGTATATCTGAAACGAAAGGGAAGTATATTACTACGGCTACAAACATGGATAGATAAATGATTGAGAGAGAGAGAGAGAGAGAGAGAGAGAAAGAGAGAATGAATACATAGATGTGTATAGATGGAATAAAAAGAGTTAATTATCAGCATGAAGTCGATTGATTTCACAGATTGGTAGATATAGAATTGAAGTTTAATTGGACTCATCGTTAGCATCAGCTGTTGGTGGATTATCTCGATGAAAATATTCATCAGGACCTATATTAGACAAATGTATACATGCTTTGTGTATTGCTATAGACACTAGTTGATCATCTACTTACCCATGCGATAGATAATCGTTGTTTTCCACAGATTCGTACGATTGATTCTTTGAAAGTATTTCGATACAAAGTTGATGGAATAACAAATATAATAAAGATAAGTATTGACGGTAAAAATGAAATAAAATAAGCAGAAAGATATAACCATTTATAGTCAAATATTTCAAAACATGTTGGTAATAACGAAATAACCAAACGTGGTGTTGTTAGAACAAATAAAATAGTTGGACTAATAACAAGATGTTTATGTTCTTTCCATTGTTCACGAATATGTTCTTGAAATGTTTGTTGTTCTCGAGCATCTGTTCGTCGTCGAGCACTTCCAATAATAATAAATAAAGCAGAAACAAGATTAGCAATGAATGGACCAAGAAGGTGAACAAGTAGAATGAATGTGTTATAATCTCGAACTGATTGAGAATATGAAGTTTGACACCATATATCTCTGCTTATTAAGAACTCTTCTGAGTTGTCATACAATTCGTGGTATCTTTTTTTCTCCTTTCTTTTATAATCAACGACTTGACGATATATAGGTTCATGAATGATTGAGACCATGATGACAAAAGGCAAGAACAATAATATCCATCGTGCATAACGTTTACTTTTCTCTTTATTAAAATTGACTCCTTTATAAACATTAAATCCACGTTCAATTGCAACACATGCATTTAGCCAAGCATCCCAATAGAAGAAAAGTTTTAGAAGAGTTTCAATTGATTTACAACCACCTCGGTGAATTGATAAATGAGTGTATATATTCATTTGTGTAAGAAGAACAAACCAAAATTTAATTGTAAACATTGTAATTGTCAAAAAGGAAATGATGGATGATGCCAAAAGATATAATCCACATCCGACTTTTCGTAAAGTTTCATTTTGAAAAGTTATAATTGAACAAATACAATTGATAATACCCGTAACAAACATAATGATTGTTATAGCAGCACTCATCTTAATACCGAATGATTGATCATTTATTGTCATATTTTTGTTCACTGTAGGACGTAAAATATCATCAAGAGTTAAGCCAATACTCTTAACTTCAGTATTACATGGACCACCAATATAACAATACGTTGAATTATCAACTAAAGAAATTATATATTATTTTAACATATGAAGAAAGTAAAGTCTTGTTTTGTTTCTTTTAATTCTTCTGAAGTGATAAAGTTTTATCTATACTTACTAAAGCGTTCAAAAGTAAAATTCTCTGAACCATATATTAAGATTGAAAAGTTAGTTGGCGTCAGTGGTTTATGAGTTGTTATAACTAATATATACATTGTATTAGCTTGAATCTTAGCTGTGAAATCAAGGCGAGATGCATCCCAACATTCATGATGCCTGATTGAAGTCAATTGTTTTTCACGTGAATTCAACGGATCGAATTGATTCTCATACATAAATGCGTCCGTTGTTTCATGTTCATCAGTTGAAAAAGCATAATATCCGTCTCTAGATGCCGTTATTCGAATAGTTTCATAATAATAATAATCCAAGTAGTTGCAATCTTTAGGATACCTTTGACTATTGTTTGTTAAGTTTGACGGGTATTTAACATAAAAAACAGGTGAAGAATCTATTCAAAAGAATAGTCACTTATAAATTGTAACAGTGATATTTTTATATCTTTAGGAATATGCTATAGATTATACTTACCAACACGTTTAAAACTAACATCACCTCTACCAAATACATCTACGTAAAAATCTACTGGGTCACTGGTAGTACATGTTGTTACAACCAATATATACCGAGTATTAGTCATAAGTTGAACGGTAATTATATCACGATTAATATGACAAGGTTTATCATCTTCTGAAATTAAATTTCCAAATGGAATAAAAGAGTAAAAATCATGTTTATATATATAACTGGATATAGGTCGCACAGATGAGATGTTGTGTCCAACGGATAAAAAAGTATAGAAGCCATTTTCATTCACGTTTACCTGTATTGCTTCATAGTATTTCTGTAATGTTTCAGAGTGAGCGTGGTTTTGTTTGTAACAAGGATCGGGAATATATTTTAGATGACCTTTTGTCAATGCAGATCTGTATGTTGATTTGATAACTGGTTCAATGTCTATTCAATACAAAAATAAAATAAAACTAAAGAAATAGAAATAATGCTTTAGTTTCATTTCTATCTAATTATCATAAGTTTTGTTTTACGAGAATGTATAAATATATGCAAAGATTCTAATTCTCAAAAAACAATTTTATCTTACATGTGATGATTTTTTGTAGACACACTTCTACTCAATTTTCCAAAGGATCATTATTTTAAAAATATCTGTATGCTAGGCCATTTTCATAACTATATCTTCTATAAAATACTCCTTATCTTGCATATTTTGTGGAACTCACATCTATTTTTTGAAGAAAAATAAGTGAGTGTAAGTTTTATACCCTGGAATCTTTGCACCACCCCCCCCCCCCCCCCCACCATGGACCGCAAGCCGCTACGGGGTCACGGAGTACAAGGGCGACAGGGTTAGCAGATACGGGGTTACAGGGTGCAAGGACGACAGAAGCTATACAGTCTCAGTCCCACAGGCGTTACACAGGGTGCAGGCGCGGCAACGATTATTGTAGCCGTATGACCTATAGAAGTATTAGAAATGTAGAGAGTATTAGAGTTATGAAACATAGAAAAATGTAATTAGCGTATTCAAATTTCTATGATTTACTATTCAAGTAAAAATATTTGCATTTCAAATGCAGATTCGTTATTTTCTGCTGTGCTGTTTGGGTCTTACTCGGTATTATTTAAATTATGCGAAAATGGCCCAACGTGCACTTTGCTCATGAAAATCTTGTTTTGTCTGGAANTGTATATTTGATTCTTCAATTGAATCAACTGCTTATACGTTTTGTGACTACTAGAAATGCTATCACCCTGAGAGTGATGATCTTAAAGTGAGCTTATCGTTCAGTATTTTATTCTAATCCACAATCTCGTTTTCCAAATACAAGTATGTGAGTTCCACATTTTAGCCCCAAAGGGGCTGCGCTGACAAGCTTTTTCTTAGAAAAATATACTAATAAAATCCAAATAATTTATTTGTCAAGTACAATACTATCTATAAATCTGATTTCGTTTTTTCAAATTACAAAATCAACTTTCATAAATACGTAGTATATATTACTTACCAATGCGTTGAAGATCAACTCTATTTGAACCAAATATAGTGACTGAGAATGGACCTGTCACATTTGGATAATATGTTGTTACTACTAATATATATTTAGTGTTCATTTGAAGTTCAAGTGTAAATTTAAATTGATCTTTATTGTCAGGTTTACCGTACGATGCAATTAAATTTTTTGGAAGATCAAATCGAGGAAAATGATCTTTGTATACAAAGCCATAGAGCTCGATACTACTGTTGCCAGTTAGAATATAAAAGTCGTTCTTACTGATAGTTACTTGTATGGTTTCATAGTAATAAGCTGGATTAAAATCATTTAATCTACGTGAAAACATTTCATGACTGTGTGTTAAGGTAGATGAATAGTTTGCTTGAATTATAGATGGAACATTTCCTAAAAGAACAAACATTTGTGTAATATTTCCGTTTTTATTATGATATAAAATTTACATCTAATTATCAGATAATGAATATCAACAATTTGGAAAATTGTCTCTGCTAAATACGATAGTATAATAGAACAATAACTAATGGTGCGAACTCTTTACGGAATAGAGATGTGAAAAGCGAAATATCTACCGTTACAATATAGAATTTCTAATACATTGTTCATTACGATGCTTATAGTGAAGAATTCACATTTCTTTCTATTTATTTTTCTTGAGATTTTCCTTTTCGATTACAATTTCAACGCGTTTTTTTTTGAAAATAAAATTCAAAGATCACTTATTATATTACTTTTTTCTTTTCAAAATATTTTATCATACTATTTTATACTTACCACAAGAATCTTTTTCCAAATAAAATTTTTGTATTCGTGTATCGTCTCGATCGTAAACAAATAAGTTTCCATTTACATCAAAATGAAACAAACTTGGTTGTTCCAATTGACTGAATTGTACTTTTTTCTGATTGCATCCAAGTAAACATCGAAAACCATTTGGTCCTGATCCGATTATACGATCAAATCCCGAATCCACAATAAAAAGATATCTTTCAGAATCGAGTGCAACTGAATAGGGGGAATGCAGTAAAATTGTGATTTCAAATGAGAATTCTCCTGCTACTGTCTTTCCCTTTCCTTCACCGAATTGAAACAATTGAATTCGATGGTTGCCAGAATCTGCTACATATAAATCAAAGTTTGTATCCACAAAGATTCCCTTAGGACTATGGAGCTGATTCTCGCCCGAACCGCTACTTCCTGTACCAGCGACGATTGTCGTCTTTACTGTGCCGTTCTCATTTTGTGATATTTTTTCAACTCTATTCTTATACCACACTGAACAATAAAAATTGTTACTGAGATCGATAAAAAATTGATAACATATATCTGCAGTATCCATAAAACGGACAAAGCTATTGTTACTTGCTATCCATTTAAGAATTCCTTGATGCACAGTACTAAGATAAATATTACCGTTGTCACTCACATATAGAGAAGTTGGTGTGAACTCCGATTGATAACTAATCACCGATGTTGGACGTGCAGAATCCTTGGACCAAACTAGAATTTCACCATCCTCCCCAGTATGAGCGTAAATTGTACTCTTTTTATCAATAAACAGAATGGGCGATCTGAAATTATCTGTTTTTCGAATAGCAAATTGAGATTCAGCAGTATTCCATTTTGCTGTTGGACAAAGTTTTGGTTGATTAAATGAAAGAACTACAATCAAAAGGAAAAAAATAAAAGTTTGTGAATAATATTAAAGAAATGTAAAATTATTTGATTTTCTCTTCTCGCTTTAGTTTAATCATGAGTTTGAATTGATTTATAAATAATTTCAAATAAGAAATGATTACCTGATATTCCATTACTAATAATCATCAGGATTGATACAAAAATCATATCAGAATGGTTGTTCATCAACGTATACTTCAATTACTAGGATTTGTTAGACAATGATATTTATACGTCGTTTGAAATTAATGAAACTCATTTATGATTTCTTTGATATTTATGTGTTTATTGGATTAAGAAATCTAATTTAAATGCAAATATATGATTTACAGCAAAGTCATGAAAATTGAACATATTTAATATGAAATGATTGATATGATTAAATGTTCTCTTTGATCACGTTTTCTTTTTTTATTAAAAATAATCTTAATCAGAAATATATATTTGAAGAAGATTGGAGAAACTATATAGAAATATTTCTTTGACACTATGTTTAACATAAATCTTAAAATTTCTTATATGATTCATTTATAAATAATATTATTAATGATAACCCATCAACAAAAAAAGATATTCTTAATTAATAAATAACGCTCGTCAGTGGTGACTCGCATTACCCTCGACTGAAAATATCACAATATATTATTATCAATTTGATATTTGTTTTTCTTTGTTTCAGTTAAGAAAAATACTTTCTAATATA